AAAGAGGTAAAAAATAGATAATTCGCCTCAAGAACAAGACATTTCTTCAGTGAGCATGCTAATAACTCTTTTCTTACTTTGAAAGAAAAAAGGAAAGGATTGTGGAACCTGTAAGTACTGACCCAAGATTCACCCTGAATATTTTAGCTTTACCATTTGTACATGTCACAGTACATACAATAATCTAAAATCAACAGCTGGAAGATGACACACTCTTAAGACAGAAGTGATTAGGGAAGGAGCCGGGGAGTCAGTTTAACCAGCTAGCTGGAGATTTCTTCCACATGGGATTCCCCGTACCCCCACTCCAAGAAAATTCAGAGCACAGAGGGACTATCAGGAGGAATAAGAAATAGCTTAGCGTCTGGTTGTCTAAAGAACACAGAATGCTGATGTCGAGAAGACCAGAAAACAATCTAAAATCCAGAAAGCTTAAGAAAATGGCATAAATTTTATCTATCAAACTATGCCACATGCCATTCAGATAGAAACCAGAGTTTTTCTCAGTTCAACTGTTGATTTAATTAGTTTATGTTATATCCTGTGTCACAAATCTGTCACACACTCAGAAATTCAAGAACTGTTGGAGTACACTTTGACAGCTGGTAAGCTGTATTTGAAGCTGATATTAGTGTTGAGAAAGATGCTGTTTCTATTTTCAGCTCCATAAGTAACCCTAGAAAGTTACACTCATTCCGCCTGACACTGAGACTCCCATGGCTACCCCAAGTGGAAACATCATGGGCTTTTTCAATGGTCACTTGTAGTCAGGACTATCACTTTCAGCCTTGTCTAGAATGATTCATACACCGTTGCCTAGATTAACAAAGTTTTCTTTTTAGTTTTACTCACTTGTAGTTGTGCAATAATGGATTCATACCAATGAAGAAAATGGTTTCCTCCTTTGGTAATGACATTAGGAGGTATTTTTGTTCTAGAAGAAAGTTTTGCTAGCACTTTCTTATAGATAAGACATTTTATCATTCTCTTGACGTGATGAATGTGTCCCATTTGGAAGAAGTCACTGCCAGTGTAGGCTTCCCAGTGGAGTTACAACAAGCTGGAGCCTCCTCCAACAGGACCTCTACCAATAGAAGTTCTGTGTCTACCACATACAGACATTTTTAATGGAACTGGGTTGTTGGAAAACTTCTCCGAATATTTCCTCTCATAGATACTGTCAGAAAAATCTACACAAAATAGGGTTGTGTTAATCATTATGGATAATTCTGTGGGAATGAGACGTGAGACCCAACTTACAGTTCTCCTCCTTTCTGAGGGGTCAGATCAATCCTACCTGTGTGGAGCAGATCGATCCATCTGATCCCCACAAACCTCTATCATGCTAGGAAACGTCAAACAGCTGAAAGCGCATGAGGTATGTTTAAGGTCTTTTCCTACGCAACTGAGTTGAGCAATCCTTCAAAACACAGATTTCAGGGTGCACAATCTGCCCCAAAGGGCTGTAGTTAGTTCTCTATTTTTAACCTGAATTCAAAATTCTCAGGATGGAGAACACCTACTGGGCCTCCATTTCAATTAAATTTATATTGTTATCTTCAGTGAAGCCATCTGTAGTATGAGTGGAAATAAAATTAAAATTTACCACCCCCCTTCCTGAAATTTAGAGCGTGTGTGGTATTTCACACATTTAATATGAGTGCCCCAAATGTCATCGTACAGGTAAACATGCCAGTTTTCAAATATCAGGCACAGCATGTAGTTGCAATCTGTGACAACAAAATGTGGCTTGATAACAGGAAAAAGGTACGCAAAGTGAAACACAACTGTGATTTTCCACTTCAAACAGATGAAAACTAGGAATGTTTCTCCTCAAAATTGTGTTATACAAGTTTTATAATAACCCTCATATTGATACTGGAAATGATTGTAAAGACAGAAAATTATTTTGAACATATCTGTATGCTGTGTCAAAACAGATTAAGTCCCCTAATTTAACAGCACAATTTTCCAGCCCTTAGATGCTAGGCTGGTTTTTTTAGTAGTTTCCCATTGTTTATTATATTTTTTCACTTCTTAACTTGGAGGTGGCACTAAAGGCACTGCAAACAAGCGTATTAAGTCATGTCATCTGATGGGCCAAAACTTACTGAATCTTCTTTCATATCAAGGAATTACAAAGTAACTGACACGAAGTAGAAAATACTTCTCGAGTTGAAGCAATTTTACATCACGAAGATGAAAACAAGGATTTGAATGAATGGTCTTTTGTTTGAATGAGAAAAAAAAGTTTACAACACACTGTACCTAAGATGGGAAGTGACTGGCAGTGATATAAGATAATAAAGATTGACCTTCTATATACTGTATGCAAAACACAAAGAAAAATGTTCAAACAAATGCAGAGTAGACAAGAAAAAACATCAGCTGATACATATTTATATTCTGAAGTGCTACTATGGTAAAACCTCACATTGAATAGTCTCTCTGCAAATGATAATTATAAAATTGGTCTTATATTCAATAGGCTATTCATGAACTAAATTATACATTAACTGCAGTAAAGACAACAGAATCTAGATCCACATATCTTTAAATATCTGATAATTTAATATATGAAAGCAGCAGTCTAAGAAGGTAACACTATGTTTGTGACTATGACGTTACTTAATTAAAAGTATAGAATCATAGAATCGTTAAGGCTGGAAAAGACCTCTAAGAACATCAAGTCTATGTGTATTTTCCAAGTTAGAATGTGTCTGTCAGTTATGTTATCATGCTCTACTGGATTAAGATTAACATTAAGCTACACAGAGAGGGAAAAAGAGTGCTCACATGTCATCATTCTGGAATCAAGTGTAGTCTCACTAAGAAAAGCATGACCCCAAGCCTATATTATATTGGTCTTACTTTTAAAAATATTACAATCTTATGAAACATTTTCAGAGGGGTTTCATTATTCTTCCTAAAAATGAATTTACTGGTTCAATCTCATTAGAAGTTTTTCAACCACCAGTTTCCCTTCAACACCACAAGGACTGTCATTGATTGAAAATTAAAAGGAAAAAACAAGTGGTTCTTCAAATTATACCTGCAAAGACATTTTTAGTATTTCTCATATTTCCAACCTCACCTTAGAGAAAACCAGTAAGGGATGGCATCTAGCAACCCAGTACTTTGTTAGACAAGTAACAAAAGTAAGTGCTTACTAAGATTTGAACTTGTAGATAGACAGAACTTTGCCTTTCATTGCATCGCATCTGCACTGCATTTAATTATATAAGAAAATACACTTAAATGATCAGAAATCCGTACAGTGACCATTATCACCATTCTACATTTGTCATATACAATAAAACCCCCAAACCCTCATTCACCAGAGGGAACAGGAAAGTGAGAGTGTATTGTATTATATATAACAGTATACATAAAACCTTTGGAAGTACAAATTTACATTATTAAAGGATGTAGTAAAATAACCATTTTAAATTAGTAAATAGTACATTTCATTTATTATACTTCACAGAATAATCGATTATCAGGCATGATGTGAGTAAGACCACAAATCTCAGCACTACAAATCTGTTTTATTATTTGGACTGGATATTTTACTGTACTTTCCTCCTAACATGGCAAATTAAATAGAAAATAATAAGAAACCAATCATACATCTTCCCCCTTATGCACGTATTTCCTTTAGTTGATGGCTTTTGTTGCAACTCAATAAAAGCCAGCAATCCAAATTTGAAGAGGCATCTCTGCATGTATTTTCAGAATACAGCCATATGTGCCACACGACGAGTTGCTATGATTCAGTTCTTCCTTCTAATTGTCAGTTTAAAAAGTATTTTCAGCTCAGACACTAAGATTAACTAAACCCCACCATATCATTCTATGTGAAACACTATTATAAAGCAGGCACAAAATTATTATTCAAGGTCACTGAGTGAATCACTGGTCAAGATGGAAATTGTGTCTTGCATTTCTAGTTCTCCTTCTGAAGGGATTAATTCAAATACACTAGGATTTCCAATTAAATACTTCCACTGCTTTATACATAAGCATCCACAACAACTGTTAAAGTGTCTTGTGAATTGTCATCTAACTCCTTGCTGCTTTTTTTAAAAAAACCCACAAAACTAAAACAAACCAAAACACAAAACCAAAACACCAAACAGGTATAGGCACATCCCCAAGCACTAGAAAGGTAAATTCTTAGTTGTAGTGTGATTCCAGATCATATTTAATTTTTATTTAGAAAGTAATTAATCTTATAAATATAATGATGTGCACTGAAATGTAGTAGGACACAATTTACAAACCTGTTTCATTTCACACACACATGCTCATGCATTTGTACGTCTGTAAGTATGCAAAAGCCAGACCAGAAGTTTGATAAAACATAAAAATTAAAAAAACAGTACAAGTAATAATCCAGTCCAATCTGACGAACATGACTCATCCAGTGATTCTCGTGCCAACCCCATAATTCTGGTTGAACCACAGATCAAATTTCGTCAATAGAAAGCCATCCCACCCCTAGCTAAGACATTCAAATGTATAATTAGCCTCACTGGGAAAAACATGGGCTTGTTCCAGCCCAAATCTATTCAGATTCAGATTCTAACCCTGAGATCTGTTTTTGCTTTTGCCTGATGAAGAAAAACACACAGAAAATTTTCGTAGTGAGGAGATATACATGCATCTCATATCATATAGCTATCTGTGTTTCTGCTTGATAATGCAAGGATTACAGTAATACAAGAAAAATGTCAATAAAAGGTTTAATTCTTACGGCTTACGGCATACTTCTGTACTGCTTGACCAATGAGTCACAAGGTGTAAAATATTAAATATATTTTATGGTCTTTTCAAAGAAATGTTACAGATTGAGAATCTTTAAGTGCCCTAAGGTTCAATACTAATACATTTTTAAAAAGTACTTTACATACAAACCAAAATGCTTTCACTTTCACTTTTAAACTTTCCTCTTTATGCTATTCTATTTTATGTAGTAAAATCTTTCATATATCACTTACTTTTTTGTCTTCATTATATTTATGGAAAATTTCCTGTGCTCTTTCTTCACCACCATCCGTAAACAACATAATAATCTTATTGCAGTTAGCTCTAGAGACACTGTGCTGTAGGAGATACAAACAGAAGCTTTTTTTAATAAAATAAGGAATAACAACTGTTATATTTAATGGCTTTCATACCAACATGATTACTATTTTAACATGGTAACAACAAAATTTTCCAAGTCTTTTGGGATTTAATTCAACACCCCTTTCTGAGTGAAAAATAAAATAAAATGAAATAGAACCAAAACAAAATCATTTTTCTGTTCCATGAGAGCTCAGTATGACTCATTTCAGATCTGGCCCAACACAGAGTAATGGGGATTTGGTGGTTCCTCTCACCTCCGCCAACACAAGGAAAGCTCTTAACTCCTACCCGTCACACCAACCCCACAGAGTTCCTCTACAGATGTTCTACATGACACTTGTACAGTGAGGGCCTCTGAACATTTTTACTCTTCTCTTTTCTATTTCTTACTTTTTTTCTTATCCTTACTGTCCTTGTGGAAATTTAAGAACAATGAACCTCCAATGAGTTACTGAATATTCATTTTTTTTCTGCTGGACTCTTACAGAAACTATCACGCTCACCAACCACTTAAATGAAAACTCTGATAATTTAAGCATCACACAGGTACATCTAAAAAACTCTACCTTATAAACTTAGAAATATTTTTGCATTTGCTATTTTTGTCACAATTCCTTAGAATAAGCTCCATCTTTCACTTCTTTAAGTCTTTCCTGTTGGGTTTTTTTTTTATTTTTTATTTTTTAATACACTGAAATGAATAGCTAACCTTTAGAAACGTATTTTAGGATCAGGCTTACATAACATATTGCAGCCAAGATATGGCTTCCTAGAGTATTAAGATCTCTCCATCACCTGCTTTTCTATTAGATTGCAACTCAGAGACGAAGAACTGAGCAAGTTCCATTATTTCTGTAGAGCAAGCCTGGGATACTGGAATAGAGAGAATCGAGAAGAAGCCCCTCTGCCTCTTCATTCAGCAGTCCAAATAACTAATAAGGCCACTGAGGACAAAGCAGTGTGTTGTGCAAAGGAATAAAAACATTGCTCCACAGCCAGAAAAAGAGAGATGAATATGAATTCTGGCTGCTTGTGAACAGAGCCAAAGGCTCCTCCTTTGGTATTCATTTTCTTTTCTTCTTCTCTGAAAGTTAAGAATCGGGTCTAAGCAAATCGCTCATGAATTTCACAGCCAGCGCTCCTTGCGCTCTGTGTTGCATGCAAACGGTCCTAGTCAGACACATCTCGGTACTGCTGAGTAGCTGGATGCGACAGAGCAAAAACCCTTAGAGATTCAGTAAAATAAATTCAACTTCCCCTTCCACAAGCCTGAATTTTACTGTGTGAATTTACTATACAGTCAGGAAAAGCAGCAGGAGGGTCATCCTTACAAAGCACCTCGTTTTCCCTTGCTTTCGCCTTTGTGACTAGATAGCAACTTTCACTTGGCTGCTCAGGCGAGACAACCTCGCTCCCTTTCATTATTTTTCATCCTACTCTCTGATTTGATTCCTTGTTCTTCTGTAATAAAGAGAATGAAACACCAAAGCCAGCCCTCAAACATCAGCCAAGAATCCTCAGTATTGCAGCTCCACAGTTCTACAATGTTCCCAGAAAACTAAAATATAAAAACTTCATTTGCAATTACTATATTAACAGATGAATAATTATTCCTCAGAGATTATTCGTATTGGTAGTTCAATATTCAATGAGTAACTACTTAGTTAATCATTTGAAAAAAAGAAACCCAAATATCTTCTTACATGTAACAACAAATAAAAAAAACTTGAAATCGATACATTTTCTCCAGTCTCATCAGCTCACTGTGTTTCATTTGGAATTAAATAATTTATGACCATTTTTTACTTGTGAAATATAACCTACAAGATACTGCTCTGGGCTGCAATCTTTTCGATATTAAAAATGTAATAACAGTAGACCCGGATACTTCATAAATAAAGAAACTCACCTACATTTAGAATGATTTAATATACAGGCCAAAATAAAATCAGAGGGAAACCAAAGAGATGACAGAGAAGGGGACCAAAGACTGCTCATATTATAAAACATTCCTATTGATTTTAAAATGAGCACTATTATGAGCAATGTGAACTTGAGCTAGTCTTTGTTTTAACTGACTACATCAGGATTTTCCTAGTGGCTTAGTTAGCATATGTTTATACAGTATCGGAAAAATACAGTGTTTTCTCTTTAGTACTTACAGAAGGACACTTACTTACATTACATTGTTTAGACACTACAGCCATGTCATGGAAAAAAATTCCAAGACTTCAGCCTCCAACCAGTATTGGAAATCTGAACATTAATAAGGTCAAATCAAAATTATATTTTCCCACATAAAAACTTCGCATCCTGATGAATGAACTTAGCACATGAGTCTCGCAAAGGATCAAGAGGAAGGCAGAACTGCCTTTACAACACATCTTTTATTCCCCCCATTTTCACAAAGATGGAGAGATACTGGCTCAGGGAGTGAACAGTAGTGATTTTGTACATCTCATGCAGTAACTTAATAATTTTTCTGAACAGTTTGCCTCAGCAGTCCAATGGATGGCTCTGCTTTCCCATTGCAGACCACAGCTGAAGAGGAACGTGTTATCTATACAGCAGCTTCCCCAGGACAAAAACTGGCTGCTTAGCTTAAACTACAGAAGAATACGAGTTGGAACTGAGTCTATGTATTCATTTTTAGCTCTTTCTTGCACTTGATAAAGGCCTTTTTTTGTTTGTTTGCTTCAAAGAAGGAAGCAAAACTGATCGATTTTATACTGTGCCTAAAATTGCTTTTGCTTTATACAAGTTTCACATCCCTAAAATGAACTTACTAAGTGGCAAGTCGGGATTATACCTCATGACATGACACTTTAGGAATGTATTTTTCATTATGAGTTTCACGCCACTGAGGAAGGAAAAGGCAAATCAAACCAAAAATCAACTACCCAAATAAAGAAGAGATGATTTCAAGAAAATTTTTTGACAAATCTTATTTATTTACGGCATGGGAGGAAATAAAGCTCTTGAATTGCTTAAGCTGCAGTATTATTATTTTCAAAGAAATAGCAAGTTAATATAGCAATAAATAATGGAAAAATACTGCATAAAATTGATGGAATTCAGATTATTGATAATCACTTGAATTAGTATGTTGAAAATAACAGGTGTCTATTTCCATCTAGCAACGCATCAGACTAAGTGTTTCATGGCATGAGTGAAATATTACTTTGATATTCAGGAAAATTGTTTGAAATAACTGTCATCCAGCAACACTACCCACAAAATTATTATGAAAGTTTGAGCTGTTAAATAATATTCCATTTCCATGGACCTTACAGCAATTGGACTGCTAGAATTCATAAATATACTACTGGAAACGGGTATCCAAAAGCATATTTTTATTATTTGTTTAAGCCTGTATTCTATCATCCTCTTATATGGCCTTGTCACCAGAGTCTAGTGCTGACTCCATCACCAGCCCTTTACTCTTCCTGTTAGATGGATTTGCCAATATCTGGAGAGGATGACTGTATTGCTGTAACCTAGTGAAGTCTCTTCATTTCCCTCGATATACATATCCGCAACATTCAGTCATCATTTACAGGCTTGCAGAGATTATGTCAAGCTAATCACACCTCTGTCTCCAGTTACGAGAGAGATGGTCCCACTATGAGACCGATCTCCAGTTATTTTTGTAAGCAATTTTTTTAGGCCTACAAACAAGTGCAGTTTGAAACTTTCCCTGTGTTCAGGTCTTCTTAATACTGCTGTACACAAAGCACATACCTAATGCTGCACCAAACATAATACATACTGTTAAACAAATATAAATGTTAACGAGGAACACATTTGGCCAAATTTCTTGTGTCTTCCTGATTCCCTCTGCATGAGATGGCAGCAGATGCAGGAAAAGGGGAAATGTCCTCCAGCCTGGAGGACATTGTGTCAATGTCCAATAACCTTTAAAATCCTCTTTGCAGTTTTATATAACCATCAGCAGAGGGCATCCAGTCATTTCCCCACCAAACCCCTCTGCTAATCTAAATAGCAATCTACTGAGAAAATACCCTTGAAAACGTTGTATTTTCTTTTCCTCCACCAAAATTGAACAAGGTTAGAAATTTTTCAACCAGCTCGAGCCCTAAGCTGCATATACAATGGCCTGGAAGCGCCCTGAAGTCCAGAATCTGGCAGATTAGGGGAAAAAAATTAAAGATTTGTACACTGAGAGACATCACTGATACATTACAAAAATAGCAATAAAAAGAATACACTTCGTATTTGTTAAGCTAGATCCTTACTTGCTGTAAACTGCTTTATTTACACTACAGTGTAGATCCAACACACAGTCTTTATGAAGGTGTAGAGTAGACTTTTTTTTTTTTAAACAACTACACAAATTATTTAAAAGTTACTTAAAAAATCCCAACATTTCTGGTAAATGGGGCAACATTACTACTCTGAAAACTAGTGCTTGTGGTGAAAATTAGAAAGTACAATGTAATTAAAACATGGAAACAATAAATTTAATTTTTGAGGAAATTATTCTTTTTTTACAAAAGGAAGAGAAAGGAATTAGAATACTCTCAGGTGCCTAATGTTCCTCTATTAACTAAGTCATTTGCTCCCCTCTGTCCTGCTCAAGCCATGGTCAGCTATTTATGACTCATAATAAACATGAAATTGTAGGTTAACTAAACATTGCTAGCAGATGCTGTGGTAAAATTGAAATAATAATGCGGTAACACAGAGACTTCCATTTTAAAATTACCTGCAAACCTACCACTACCACAGCTATGTGCCTGCGTGCTATGTGAGAATCACATGTTAAATGAAAAACTAGCTGAAGCAATGAAGCAAAAAAAAAGTAGAGCACATTGAAAACCAAATGTATTCCCAAATCTCAGCAACCTGCTGCGGGATCTGCAAAGAAAAAACAGATTGTTGGGATAAATTTACTTGCTAAATGAAGGTTAGCACTTCTACCACTTCGTCACACAGCGAAGGAAAGTGCAGTGGCCATCTGAGCATTCAAGTTCTCCTTTACTTTCCAGCAGGGAGAGGTGACCGTCATACTTACATTTAGCAGCTGTTCAAAAGCATAGCTAAAGCCTTTCTTGTAATCTGTGATTCCTTTAGCAGAGATTTTATAGACAGCTTCTTTCAGCTTCTTCTTGTTCCTCACGTTAGCTTGGACAAGATGATTAAAGCAACTGACGTTCTGGGCATTATTGTTAAACTGCAAAAAGGAATAGAAATAGTATTAAAGACAGTTAATTCTCTTCTCTAGGTACTGTATAGTAAAGGCTAATGTTTTCTTGACCCATAGGATAAAGCGTATCACACCTGGATTTTCATTTCCACTACACTGAGAATGTCCAGCAGTGTCTGGAGATTTCAAAAATTGGGCAATAAATATCATAAAAAGACGAGGACATTCTCTCTAGAGTGTGCCTCACACTTTTTTGCAACCCAAAATCTCTACTACAGTGGAAAAATTCCCACAAATTTTATTTCAGGCTCATATAATGAAATTGAACTGAGAAATGTAGAGTTAGGGAAATAGAAAACACGGTGAAATATTTATTTTACTTTTTTCAATCACTGCAAAATATTGGCTGAATTATCAGGTGACTTCCATATTGCACATATTAGTCTGATGTTTTACAGTGAAGATTGTAGGTTATAACTAATTAGTATATACACACCTTATAGAAAACCAAATACAGTCTTGGGACAAAGGAAGAACATGGCAATATAGCTGTAAATAGGAGGATATTGTTAATAATAATACAAATTTGTGTGTTGAGAACACATATATTTGTGCTTTCTTACCCACGTATCTGTAAAGACTACTCCCTGAAAAATTCATTTGTACAAGATTCTGACGTTGTTTAAAAATATACATAGAAAAATTTTTATGTGCAAAATGTTGTCTGCACAGGTAGAAATCAGTTTGTGATCTCCTTAAAATTTGTCTCTAATATACACACATATATGTGCAAGTACATCCATCTATCTATCTATCTATCTATCTATCTATCTATCTATCTATCTATCTATCTATCTATCTCCCAGAGGAGAGAGAGGGATGCAGAAATACGACTACTTTTTAGGTACCTCTGTATTTATCTATCTGAAGTCATAGATGAGGCTTCTCTTAAAAAATGCTGCAGCATGTACGATTCTAACTGTAGTCTTGAATGAGACTGCGTATTACTGCACATAATCTGTGTTTAACTATTTGAATGAAAAACCTCTTTTAGTGACAACACAGTGGTTTTTATTCAAGATACTCTTGACTAATGCTACTAAAATGATTGTCTTGGCCATTTTTTAAACTGTTTTATCTATCCAGATTTCTTGTGTAAGCTTTTTTTTCCACTGGAAAAGAAGATGTCCAAAAAGCTCTGTAAAACTCTATCTCAGTAAAGGCACTAAAATCCAGACCTCCTAATTTACATTTCAGCTGAAAAAATATTATTATGCCTCTTCCTGATTAAGGATCTTCAGTGAAAGTAAATGTAAATGTAATTTTATGCTGTCAACCTGGTGCAAAGCCTTAAAATAACTTAAAAGTCAGGCTTAAGTCTCAATACTGCTAATTAGGTCAGTAGTACTGTACAGAAGATAGGTAAATAAAGTCACAGATATCAGCGACTGCTCAGATTACTTATATGTCTAAAATTAATCACTAAGTACCAGGCACAAAGTACTGCAAGCTAACTGCTATCAGCAGCAAACATCAACTTGCACTGTAATTGTAGGACGCTTACAACAAACGGAATTTAAAAGGATGAAGGAATTGATATTAGCAAACCATTTTTAACAATGCATAACAACTAAGTTCAAGTTAATAGGATGCCTAAGAGGTACATGGCCTTTTCCACATCCTGGAATCAGGTATGTGCAGATGCATGCTATGTGCTCTTAGGAGCGACCAAAATATGAACTACCAGTACTTATTATCGAACATCCACTTCAGTCAATGAGCCTTCAGGTATCGAATTAGTAGGAGCAAAGGCAGGACAACAAATATCATACAGCTTATGGCAGAGATGACTGACAGAGAAAGGCATGATCCTCAGCAGAATGTTTGGCCTAATTTTTTCCAAACCCTTCTTGAAAATTGCTGCACAGTTGCGACTGTGGGGGTTTAGGCTGTAAGTGAACAAATCCAGGCAATGGTTATTACACTGACTGATACGCTGGATTCTTACTTATGGCTCAACCTGTAATTTCTTGCAGAGAGGACGTGCCGAAGTGCCCCGTGAACTACATAAATTTGCCTGCCTCATCTTCTAATTATCATTGTACCACAAGCCACTCCTTTACGAAGAAAACCCACTACTTTGATTTTGAGCATGAAGTACTTCACAACTAACCTAATACCTTGCCATCTTCATTTTGTATTGGTTTTTCCAGGGAGCTTAATTTTCTCATTCCTCGTGACTTAAATATTGTGTTTTGGTGAGACACCAACACTCTTTTATGGTACAGCTGCTGTTCCTGAGGACTGCATTTGTTAAAAAATTGTACTGCTTCTTGCTAGGCAGGGATATACACTATGATAATACCCACATATGATCTTGACATATCTTTCTAATTATTAAGGATAGTTATTATTCTGTCACAATTTTATAGCTCTGCTCCCCAGGAGATTAAAATCTGTGGGAGCAAGTTATTCTCAAATGACTTCATGCAAAGTTTTCTGTCCCCTTTTCTGTCATATGCAGTTCCCAATGTGTCACAGGGCGAAAACTGTTTCCAAAAACATGCAAAAGCACGAACAAGTACTTAAATTTTGAAAAATGTAATGCTGTATTTGACCAAGCAGTTTACAAAACAGTCATTTGTATATAATAATATAAAGTTGCTTATTTATTTTTGAAATATTCTATTTATCAGGGCTTTAATTTCTGAAGTTCCACAACTGTAAAAATATTATCACGTATTTAAATTATTTACAGTAATGAAAATATTAAAACAGGATGAGATAATGAAGATGAAAAATATTTTCTAGTTTTCCTGGTGTCACAATGCAAACTTCACCCTTAAAATAAATGAACACATGGAATTTCATTACATGTAACCAAATTTTCAGCTTGAATAATCCTTTAATGTATGCCATATTTCCAAGACAATAATAATTTTGGTAGGACCAATCCTCTGCTGTGATTAAAATGTAAGACTCCCAGTTGGACCCTAACATTTCCATTGTGTGATTTTAAAGCCATTATCTTTTATAAAAGTTCTTTCCCCAGCCTCAAACAAATTGTGGTCATTCATTTTTCCATTTCCCCTCAATATCATGTGGTGATTTTTTATTCACTGTACTTAAGCAGCATGTTTTGCTGCTTAAGCAAAACCATGAAATGATTACACAACTGTAATCGATTCACTTTGATGCAAAGCACTGACACACTCGATGATATTTCTTAGAGCAGTTTCTTACAGAAGTAACCAATTAATCACCCTATGATTATTAGGTACATTAAGCACGTGGGAATGAAAACAGTATTGTGCTGTGGAATTATTTCAGCTTGCCTTGACCTAATTTTATAGACATGATAGGAAAATAAGTGATGTAAATTAATTTTAAAAAGAAAAGGTCTGAAAACTCTAACTGTGAGATGGGATGAGAGTACAGAACTTGTACTGAGCAAGTAAACACCAGCACTATCTGGTAGGTAGCTCTGTTCTGCAAAAGCCAATTTCATCTGAAAAAGTAGAGTGAAAACACAGTTCTGCTTCATCAGTGACATTATATGCAAATTATTTAGTGAGCTAATACAAAAGTAACCATAAGCTCAGTCTTACGGCCAGTGCATGCC